CTACTCGTTCTTTTGCACTCCTTCTTTTCGAACAGATGATGACTCACGACGTTACGACGCTGGACCAGTCAGCGTTCATACATGACATCTCTCGGAAGCCTTCATTGGGATACACGGAAATAAAAATGGCAACCGGTATGGAAGACAGCTGCACCTGTACCGTGTTCATGCAACGTTGTGGTCATAGTCGTTTGATCGGCGGAAACATCGTGCCGTCCATCCGTATGATCTGCGATGAAGTCCGTACAGCTCCCATTACTCCCTCTAGTGTCACGAACGATTTGCAGTTTATGCAGACTACTTTGGTCGTCCGTGAGCACCACCCTTCACTATCACGACAATACTTTCAGAAGGATAGCGATGGATGTTTACACGTCAACCGTCTATTCGATTCACAATCTCCAAGTGTTTTGCAGTTTGATCCACCGCCCACCCTCGCGTGCTTGTCTACAGTTTTGAAAGGCAGCTATGAAACACATCGATCGCTTCCCTGGCGCGTTGCGCACTACATACTCTCTCTCACTGATGCCACACACGCGATGCGGGATGTGCCAGGACTGCTGGATACATGCGGTTGTAATGTGGAGTGGTACGGGCGCGTCGCTGTAGCTATAAGCGGTGAAATATCGATTTTGGTCTGGTTGCGGTGTGTAGTTTGTGAAGCGTCCCCGTGGCCCAATGGATAAGGCATCCGCCTACGAAGCGGGAGATTGCGGGTTAGAGTCCCGTCGGAGACTACCTTTTCTCTACTCGTTCTTTTGCACTCCTTCTTTTCGAACAGATGATGACTCACGACGTTACGACGCTGGAACAATCAGCGTTCATACATGACATCTCTCGGAAGCCTTCATTGGGATACACGGAAATAAAGAAGGCAATCGGTATGGAAGACAGCTGCACCTGTACCGTGTTCATGCAACGTTGTGGTCATAGTCGTTTGATCGGCGGAAACATCGTGCCGTCCATCCGTATGATCTGCGATGAAGTCCGTACAGCTCCCATTACTCCATCTAGTGTCACGAACGATTTGCAGTTTATGCAGACTACTTTGGTCGTCCGTGAGCACCACCCTTCACTATCACGACAATACTTTCAGAAGGATAGCGATGGATGTTTACACGTCAACCGTCTATTCGATTCACAATCTCCAAGTGTTTTGCATTTGATCCACCGCCCACCCTCGCGTGCTTGTCTACAGTTTTGAAAGGCAGCTATGAAACACATCGATCGCTTCCCTGGCGCGTTGCGCACTACATACTCTCTCACTGGTGCTACATACGCGATGCGGGATGTGCCAGGACCGCTGGATACATGCGGTTGTAATGTGGAGTGGTACGGGCGCGTCGCTGTAGCTATAAGCGGTGAAATATCGATTTTGGTCTGGTTGCGGTGTGTAGTTTGTGAAGCGTCCCCGTGGCCCAATGGATAAGGCATCCGCCTACGAAGCGGGAGATTGCGGGTTAGAGTCCCGTCGGAGACTACCTTTTCTCTACTCGTTCTTTTGCACTCCTTCTTTTCGAACAGATGATGACTCACGACGTTTCGACGCTGGACCAGTCAGCGTTCATACATGACATCTCTCGGAAGCCTTCATTGGGATACACGGAAATAAAAATGGCAACCGGTATGGAAGACAGCTGCACCTGTACCGTGTTCATGCAACGTTGTGGTCATAGTCGTTTGATCGGCGGAAACATCGTGCCGTCCATCCGTATGATCTGCGATGAAGTCCGTACAGCTCCCATTACTCCCTCTAGTGTCACGAACGATTTGCAGTTTATGCAGACTACTTTGGTCGTCCGTGAGCACCACCCTTCACTATCACGACAATACTTTCAGAAGGATAGCGATGGATGTTTACACGTCAACCGTCTATTCGATTCACAATCTCCAAGTGTTTTGCAGTTTGATCCACCGCTCACCCTCGCGTGCTTGTCTACAGTTTTGAAAGGCAGCTATGAAACACATCGATCGCTTCCCCTGGCGCGTTGCGCACTACATACTCTCTCACTGATGCCACACACGCGATGCGGGATGTGCCAGGACTGCTGGATACATGCGGTTGTAATGTGGAGTGGTACGGGCGCGTCGCTGTAGCTATAAGCGGTGAAATATCGATTTTGGTCTGGTTGCGGTGTGTAGTTTGTGAAGCGTCCCCGTGGCCCAATGGATAAGGCATCCGCCTACGAAGCGGGAGATTGCGGGTTAGAGTCCCGTCGGAGACTACCTTTTCTCTACTCGTTCTTTTGCACTCCTTCTTTTCGAACAGATGATGACTCACGACGTTACGACGCTGGAACAATCAGCGTTCATACATGACATCTCTCGGAAGCCTTCATTGGGATACACGGAAATAAAAATGGCAACCGGTATGGAAGACAGCTGCACCTGTACCGTGTTCATGCAACGTTGTGGTCATAGTCGTTTGATCGGCGGAAACATCGTGCCGTCCATCCGTATGATCTGCGATGAAGTCCGTACAGCTCCCATTACTCCCTCTAGTGTCACGAACGATTTGCAGTTTATGCAGACTACTTTGGTCGTCCGTGAGCACCACCCTTCACTGTCACGACAATACTTTCAGAAGGATAGCGATGGATGTTTACACGTCAACCGTCTATTCGATTCACAATCTCCAAGTGTTTTGCAGTTTGATCCACCGCTCACCCTCGCGTGCTTGTCTACAGTTTTGAAAGGCAGCTATGAAACACATCGATCGCTTCCCTGGCGCGTTGCGCACTACATACTCTCTCACTGGTGCTACATACGCGATGCGGGATGTGCCAGGACTGCTGGATACATGCGGTTGTAATGTGGAGTGGTACGGGCGCGTCGCTGTAGCTATAAGCGGTGAAATATCGATTTTGGTCTGGTTGCGGTGTGTAGTTTGTGAAGCGTCCCCGTGGCCCAATGGATAAGGCATCCGCCTACGAAGCGGGAGATTGCGGGTTAGAGTCCCGTCGGAGACTACCTTTTCTCTACTCGTTCTTTTGCACTCCTTCTTTTCGAACAGATGATGACTCACGACGTTTCGACGCTGGACCAGTCAGCGTTCATACATGACATCTCTCGGAAGCCTTCATTGGGATACACGGAAATAAAAATGGCAACCGGTATGGAAGACAGCTGCACCTGTACCGTGTTCATGCAACGTTGTGGTCATAGTCGTTTGATCGGCGGAAACATCGTGCCGTCCATCCGTATGATCTGCGATGAAGTCCGTACAGCTCCCATTACTCCCTCTAGTGTCACGAACGATTTGCAGTTTATGCAGACTACTTTGGTCGTCCGTGAGCACCACCCTTCACTATCACGACAATACTTTCAGAAGGATAGCGATGGATGTTTACACGTCAACCGTCTATTCGATTCACAATCTCCAAGTGTTTTGCATTTGATCCACCGCCCACCCTCGCGTGCTTGTCTACAGTTTTGAAAGGCAGCTATGAAACACATCGATCGCTTCCCTGGCGCGTTGCGCACTACATACTCTCTCACTGATGCCACACACGCGATGCGGGATGTGCCAGGACTGCTGGATACATGCGGTTGTAATGTGGAGTGGTACGGGCGCGTCGCTGTAGCTATAAGCGGTGAAATATCGATTTTGGTCTGGTTGCGGTGTGTAGTTTGTGAAGCGTCCCCGTGGCCCAATGGATAAGGCATCCGCCTACGAAGCGGGAGATTGCGGGTTAGAGTCCCGTCGGAGACTACCTTTTCTCTACTCGTTCTTTTGCACTCCTTCTTTTCGAACAGATGATGACTCACGACGTTTCGACGCTGGAACAATCAGCGTTCATACATGACATCTCTCGGAAGCCTTCATTGGGATACACAGAAATAAAAATGGCAACCGGTATGGAAGACAGCTGCACCTGTACCGTGTTCATGCAACGTTGTGGTCATAGTCGTTTGATCGGCGGAAACATCGTGCCGTCCATCCGTATGATCTGCGATGAAGTCCGTACAGCTCCCATTACTCCCTCTAGTGTCACGAACGATTTGCAGTTTATGCAGACTACTTTGGTCGTCCGTGAGCACCACCCTTCACTATCACGACAATACTTTCAGAAGGATAGCGATGGATGTTTACACGTCAACCGTCTATTCGATTCACAATCTCCAAGTGTTTTGCATTTGATCCACCGCCCACCCTCGCGTGCTTGTCTACAGTTTTGAAAGGCAGCTATGAAACACATCGATCGCTTCCCTGGCGCGTTGCGCACTACATACTCTCTCACTGGTGCTACATACGCGATGCGGGATGTGCCAGGACCGCTGGATACATGCGGTTGTAATGTGGAGTGGTACGGGCGCGTCGCTGTAGCTATAAGCGGTGAAATATCGATTTTGTGGTGGTTGCGGTGTGTAGTTTGTGAAGCGTCCCCGTGGCCCAATGGATAAGGCATCCGCCTACGAAGCGGGAGATTGCGGGTTAGAGTCCCGTCGGAGACTACCTTTTCTCTACTCGTTCTTTTGCACTCCTTCTTTTCGAACAGATGATGACTCACGACGTTTCGACGCTGGACCAGTCAGCGTTCATACATGACATCTCTCGGAAGCCTTCATTGGGATACACGGAAATAAAAATGGCAACCGGTATGGAAGACAGCTGCACCTGTACCGTGTTCATGCAACGTTGTGGTCATAGTCGTTTGATCGGCGGAAACATCGTGCCGTCCATCCGTATGATCTGCGATGAAGTCCGTACAGCTCCCATTACTCCCTCTAGTGTCACGAACGATTTGCAGTTTATGCAGACTACTTTGGTCGTCCGTGAGCACCACCCTTCACTATCACGACAATACTTTCAGAAGGATAGCGATGGATGTTTACACGTCAACCGTCTATTCGATTCACAATCTCCAAGTGTTTTGCATTTGATCCACCGCCCACCCTCGCGTGCTTGTCTACAGTTTTGAAAGGCAGCTATGAAACACATCGATCGCTTCCCTGGCGCGTTGCGCACTACATACTCTCTCACTGATGCCACACACGCGATGCGGGATGTGCCAGGACTGCTGGATACATGCGGTTGTAATGTGGAGTGGTACGGGCGCGTCGCTGTAGCTATAAGCGGTGAAATATCGATTTTGGTGGCTGGTTGCGGTGTGTAGTTTGTGAAGCGTCCCCGTGGCCCAATGGATAAGGCATCCGCCTACGAAGCGGGAGATTGCGGGTTAGAGTCCCGTCGAAGACTACCTTTTCTCTACTCGTTCTTTTGCACTCCTTCTTTTCGAACAGATGATGACTCACGACGTTTCGACGCTGGAACAGTCAGCGTTCATACATGACATCTCTCGGAAGCCTTCATTGGGATACACAGAAATAAAAATGGCAACCGGTATGGAAGACAGCTGCACCTGTACCGTGTTCATGCAACGTTGTGGTCATAGTCGTTTGATCGGCGGAAACATCGTGCCGTCCATCCGTATGATCTGCGATGAAGTCCGTACAGCTCCCATTACTCCCTCTAGTGTCACGAACGATTTGCAGTTTATGCAGACTACTTTGGTCGTCCGTGAGCACCACCCTTCACTATCACGACAATACTTTCAGAAGGATAGCGATGGATGTTTACACGTCAACCGTCTATTCGATTCACAATCTCCAAGTGTTTTGCATTTGATCCACCGCCCACCCTCGCGTGCTTGTCTACAGTTTTGAAAGGCAGCTATGAAACACATCGATCGCTTCCCTGGCGCGTTGCGCACTACATACTCTCTCACTGATGCCACACACGCGATGCGGGATGTGCCAGGACTGCTGGATACATGCGGTTGTAATGTGGAGTGGTACGGGCGCGTCGCTGTAGCTATAAGCGGTGAAATATCGATTTTGGTCTGGTTGCGGTGTGTAGTTTGTGAAGCGTCCCCGTGGCCCAATGGATAAGGCATCCGCCTACGAAGCGGGAGATTGCGGGTTAGAGTCCCGTCGGAGACTACCTTTTCTCTACTCGTTCTTTTGCACTCCTTCTTTTCGAACAGATGATGACTCACGACGTTTCGACGCTGGACCAGTCAGCGTTCATACATGACATCTCTCGGAAGCCTTCATTGGGATACACGGAAATAAAAATGGCAACCGGTATGGAAGACAGCTGCACCTGTACCGTGTTCATGCAACGTTGTGGTCATAGTCGTTTGATCGGCGGAAACATCGTGCCGTCCATCCGTATGATCTGCGATGAAGTCCGTACAGCTCCCATTACTCCCTCTAGTGTCACGAACGATTTGCAGTTTATGCAGACTACTTTGGTCGTCCGTGAGCACCACCCTTCACTATCACGACAATACTTTCAGAAGGATAGCGATGGATGTTTACACGTCAACCGTCTATTCGATTCACAATCTCCAAGTGTTTTGCATTTGATCCACCGCCCACCCTCGCGTGCTTGTCTACAGTTTTGAAAGGCAGCTATGAAACACATCGATCGCTTCCCTGGCGCGTTGCGCACTACATACTCTCTCACTGGTGCCACACACGCGATGCGGGATGTGCCAGGACTGCTGGATACATGCGGTTGTAATGTGGAGTGGTACGGGCGCGTCGCTGTAGCTATAAGCGGTGAAATATCGATTTTGGTGCTGGTTGCGGTGTGTAGTTTGTGAAGCGTCCCCGTGGCCCAATGGATAAGGCATCCGCCTACGAAGCGGGAGATTGCGGGTTAGAGTCCCGTCGGAGACTACCTTTTCTCTACTCGTTCTTTTGCACTCCTTCTTTTCGAACAGATGATGACTCACGACGTTTCGACGCTGGACCAGTCAGCGTTCATACATGACATCTCTCGGAAGCCTTCATTGGGATACACGGAAATAAAGAAGGCAACCGGTATGGAAGACAGCTGCACCTGTACCGTGTTCATGCAACGTTGTGGTCATAGTCGTTTGATCGGCGGAAACATCGTGCCGTCCATCCGTATGATCTGCGATGAAGTCCGTACAGCTCCCATTACTCCCTCTAGTGTCACGAACGATTTGCAGTTTATGCAGACTACTTTGGTCGTCCGTGAGCACCACCCTTCACTATCACGACAATACTTTCAGAAGGATAGCGATGGATGTTTACACGTCAACCGTCTATTCGATTCACAATCTCCAAGTGTTTTGCAGTTTGATCCACCGCCCACCCTCGCGTGCTTGTCTACAGTTTTGAAAGGCAGCTATGAAACACATCGATCGCTTCCCTGGCGCGTTGCGCACTACATACTCTCTCACTGATGCCACACACGCGATGCGGGATGTGCCAGGACTGCTGGATACATGCGGTTGTAATGTGGAGTGGTACGGGCGCGTCGCTGTAGCTATAAGCGGTGAAATATCGATTTTGTGTCTGGTTGCGGTGTGTAGTTTGTGAAGCGTCCCCGTGGCCCAATGGATAAGGCATCCGCCTACGAAGCGGGAGATTGCGGGTTAGAGTCCCGTCGGAGACTACCTTTTCTCTACTCGTTCTTTTGCACTCCTTCTTTTCGAACAGATGATGACTCACGACGTTTCGACGCTGGACCAGTCAGCGTTCATACATGACATCTCTCGGAAGCCTTCATTGGGATACACGGAAATAAAAATGGCAACCGGTATGGAAGACAGCTGCACCTGTACCGTGTTCATGCAACGTTGTGGTCATAGTCGTTTGATCGGCGGAAACATCGTGCCGTCCATCCGTATGATCTGCGATGAAGTCCGTACAGCTCCCATTACTCCCTCTAGTGTCACGAACGATTTGCAGTTTATGCAGACTACTTTGGTCGTCCGTGAGCACCACCCTTCACTATCACGACAATACTTTCAGAAGGATAGCGATGGATGTTTACACGTCAACCGTCTATTCGATTCACAATCTCCAAGTGTTTTGCATTTGATCCACCGCCCACCCTCGCGTGCTTGTCTACAGTTTTGAAAGGCAGCTATGAAACACATCGATCGCTTCCCTGGCGCGTTGCGCACTACATACTCTCTCACTGGTGCTACATACGCGATGCGGGATGTGCCAGGACTGCTGGATACATGCGGTTGTAATGTGGAGTGGTACGGGCGCGTCGCTGTAGCTATAAGCGGTGAAATATCGATTTTGGTCTGGTTGCGGTGTGTAGTTTGTGAAGCGTCCCCGTGGCCCAATGGATAAGGCATCCGCCTACGAAGCGGGAGATTGCGGGTTAGAGTCCCGTCGGAGACTACCTTTTCTCTACTCGTTCTTTTGCACTCCTTCTTTTCGAACAGATGATGACTCACGACGTTTCGACGCTGGACCAGTCAGCGTTCATACATGACATCTCTCGGAAGCCTTCATTGGGATACACGGAAATAAAAATGGCAACCGGTATGGAAGACAGCTGCACCTGTACCGTGTTCATGCAACGTTGTGGTCATAGTCGTTTCATCGGCGGAAACATCGTGCCGTCCATCCGTATGATCTGCGATGAAGTCCGTACAGCTCCCATTACTCCCTCTAGTGTCACGAACGATTTGCAGTTTATGCAGACTACTTTGGTCGTCCGTGAGCACCATCCTTCACTATCACGACAATACTTTCAGAAGGATAGCGATGGATGTTTACACGTCAACCGTCTATTCGATTCAGATTCTCCAAGTGTTTTGCATTTGATCCACCGCCCACCCTCGCGTGCTTGTCTACAGTTTTGAAAGGCAGCTATGAAACACATCGATCGCTTCCCTGGCGCGTTGCGCACTACATACTCTCTCACTGATGCCACACACGCGATGCGGGATGTGCCAGGACTGCTGGATACATGCGGTTGTAATGTGGAGTGGTACGGGCGCGTCGCTGTAGCTATAAGCGGTGAAATATCGATTTTGTGGTGGTTGCGGTGTGTAGTTTGTGAAGCGTCCCCGTGGCCCAATGGATAAGGCATCCGCCTACGAAGCGGGAGATTGCGGGTTAGAGTCCCGTCGGAGACTACCTTTTCTCTACTCGTTCTTTTGCACTCCTTCTTTTCGAACAGATGATGACTCACGACGTTTCGACGCTGGACCAGTCAGCGTTCATACATGACATCTCTCGGAAGCCTTCATTGGGATACACGGAAATAAAAATGGCAACCGGTATGGAAGACAGCTGCACCTGTACCGTGTTCATGCAACGTTGTGGTCATAGTCGTTTGATCGGCGGAAACATCGTGCCGTCCATCCGTATGATCTGCGATGAAGTCCGTACAGCTCCCATTACTCCCTCTAGTGTCACGAACGATTTGCAGTTTATGCAGACTACTTTGGTCGTCCGTGAGCACCACCCTTCACTATCACGACAATACTTTCAGAAGGATAGCGATGGATGTTTACACGTCAACCGTCTATTCGATTCACAATCTCCAAGTGTTTTGCATTTGATCCACCGCCCACCCTCGCGTGCTTGTCTACAGTTTTGAAAGGCAGCTATGAAACACATCGATCGCTTCCCTGGCGCGTTGCGCACTACATACTCTCTCACTGGTGCTACATACGCGATGCGGGATGTGCCAGGACCGCTGGATACATGCGGTTGTAATGTGGAGTGGTACGGGCGCGTCGCTGTAGCTATAAGCGGTGAAATATCGATTTTGGTCTGGTTGCGGTGTGTAGTTTGTGAAGCGTCCCCGTGGCCCAATGGATAAGGCATCCGCCTACGAAGCGGGAGATTGCGGGTTAGAGTCCCGTCGGAGACTACCTTTTCTCTACTCGTTCTTTTGCACTCCTTCTTTTCGAACAGATGATGACTCACGACGTTTCGACGCTGGACCAGTCAGCGTTCATACATGACATCTCTCGGAAGCCTTCATTGGGATACACGGAAATAAAAATGGCAACCGGTATGGAAGACAGCTGCACCTGTACCGTGTTCATGCAACGTTGTGGTCATAGTCGTTTGATCGGCGGAAACATCGTGCCGTCCATCCGTATGATCTGCGATGAAGTCCGTACAGCTCCCATTACTCCCTCTAGTGTCACGAACGATTTGCAGTTTATGCAGACTACTTTGGTCGTCCGTGAGCACCACCCTTCACTATCACGACAATACTTTCAGAAGGATAGCGATGGATGTTTACACGTCAACCGTCTATTCGATTCACAATCTCCAAGTGTTTTGCAGTTTGATCCACCGCCCACCCTCGCGTGCTTGT